CACACACACACACACACACACACATACACTACAGCCAGTTTAGTTGATCAGTTCCCCTATAGCGCATGTGTTTGGACTGTGGGGGAAACGGAGCAACACGGGGAGAACATGCAAACTCCACACAGAAACACCAACTGACCCAGCTGAGACTCGAACCAGCGAGCTTTTTGCTGCGAGATGATCGTGCTGCCCACTGCACCACCACATAATATGCTGACTGTAGCATTTATATATTTTCAGATGTAGATTTGTTGAAGTTTCTTCTTGATTTAAAGCATTTAAAAATGATTTCAACACTTTCTATAAATCCATAAAACAGGTAAAAACTAAAGGTGCCTCAAAGCTCTAAGCTTTATTCAGCTTGTATGAACTGACCCCTGAGTTTTGTGCTATTTAAGGTTTATTTATGTTATTATTATTAATATTTTGTACTCTTTTGTTTACTATGTGCTGCTTAGATAAATGTTATATATGTTTAACAATGGAAGTTGAAAATGCCTGTTTGTTATTTCAAAATCAAACAAAAAATATGTAATAAATAAATAAATAAATAAATAAATAAAAATGACGCGGGACGCTGGATCTTCCCTGCGGGTGACGCTCATTCTGTGGCGCCTGTGATTGGTTGATGACAGAGGCGTCTATAACGATTGGCTGCGAGCCGTTCTGTTCAAGCCAATGAAAACGCTCGCTCTGTAGCCCGTCGCTGATGATTGGATGCTGCCTGTTTCTCACAGCCAGTGAAAACCCTGAGCCTGAGCGCGCGAGTCTGCGACAGATGAGGAAGACATCAGAGTGAAGTGTGTTGGCGGAGTAAATCTATAATTCTGCATGTTTATATTAATCCTGTGAATATCGCGGTATGTTGAGCTCCACAGCAGACCCGGAACAGCTCACACACACCTCTGTCACGGCTCTGCTCGGTAAGACACACACTTATGTCGACTGAATAACCGTAAAGTAACGCGTCCTCTCATTGATCTCTGTTTTCGATGTGTGTGTGTGTGTGTGTGTGTGTGTGTGTGTGTGTGTGTGTGTGTGTGTGTGTGTGTGTTCAGCGCGCAGATCTCTGAAGAGACCCAGAGATGATGATGATGATGATGAAGAGCAGCTGCAGGAGTCCTGTGTGAATCTGCTGATGAGGAACCAGAACACATCACTGCTGCTGCAGGAGATCACGGTGAGGAGGCTGACCTCAGATCAGTACATTAGTACAGTACACACTAATATAACAGTGAGTCTGACCTGAGATCAGCACAGCTCCAATAGATTGATACAGTCACAGTACAGTAATATCTGATCTGAGATCAGTTCTGTAATATATCAGTATGAGTAATGTAACAGTGACCGTCAGTGATGTAACAGTGAGTCTGACCTGAGATCAGTTTATTTACTCAGCTGTGATGTGTGATTGACAGGCTCAGAGGAGGATCAGTGGTGCAGGTCTGGAGCTCCACACACACATGCAGACGGCAGCGCTGGGTGAGCAACACACACACACACACACACACTGCAGACATCACACTGTTCTTATGGGCTCTGTTCACTGTTTGTTTGTGTGTGTGTGTGTGTGTGTGTGTGTGTGTAGAGGACGAGCTGCGCAGACTCTCTCAGCTGACGGACGTCCCTCTCTCTCTGCTGTGTGTGAGGGTTGTGACTGAAGCTCTGCAGGATCGGATCTCACACACTGATCACGTGCTGCTGAGCGCTGAACAGAGGGTATGCCACCGTCACTGTAGTCTGATCACACTCTGCCTGATGCCTGAACTCATGCGAGTGTGTGTGTGTGTGTGTGTGTGTGTGTGTGTGTGT